ACGGGGGCTCCAATGGCTTCCACTGCACAGCCACGGAGGTCGAGGCCCCGGGCCATGGAGCCAGCCTTCTGGAGGGCATGAACCAGATGCGCCAGAAGCGGTTCCTCTGCGACCTCACCATCGCCACCAAAACAAAGTCCTTCGAGGTGCATAAACTCGTCCTGGCTTCCTGCAGCGAGTACTTCCACCGCCTGCTGCAGAGAGACCCTCAGCTGCACCGCGTGGAGCTCCACGACGTGGCCCCGCTGGGCCTCGCCACCACCATCACCTATGCCTACACAGGGAAGCTGAGCCTCTCACTCTACACCATCGGCAGCACCATCGCCGCGGCCACCCAGCTGCAGGTGCCGCCGCTGCTGAACATGTGCAGCGAGTTCCTCATGCGGGAGATGGCTGTGGAGAGCTGCGTGTATATCACCAACATCGCAGCCACCTTCGGCCTCAGCCAGGTGGAAGATGCCGCACGGAAATTCATCCGGGAAAACTTCCTGGAGTTCTCCAACACTGAGCAGTTCATGAAACTCCCCTTTGATCAGATCAATGAGCTGCTGATGGACGATGGCCTGCAGATACCCAGCGAGGTTGCTGCCTTCCAGATTGCTGTCAAGTGGCTGGAGTTTGACCCGAAACGGGTCCGGTATGCTGCTGACCTCCTGAGCAACATTCGGTTTGGCACGATCTCAGCTCCAGACTTGGTCAACCATGTGCAGCCTGTGCCACGCATGATGCAAGATCCACAGTGCCACAAGCTCCTTGTCGATGCTATGAATTACCACCTGCTCCCCCACCAGCAGAACAGCCTTCAGTCTCGGAGAACTAGGATACGGGGAGGCCAGAGGGTGCTTGTCACAGTTGGGGGCCGTCCAGCATTGACCGAGAAGGCTCTGAGCAGGGACATCAGCTACAGGGATGCAGAGGGAAACTGGCATAAGCTGACGGAGATGCCAGCAAAAAGTTTTAACCAGTGTGTGGTGGTGATGGATGGATTCATCTACATTGCGGGTGGGGAAGACCAGAACGATGCCAGGAACCAGGCCAAGCATGCTGTCAGCAGCCTGAACAGGTAAGACAGGCCCCATGTGGCCATGCAGGATATTCAGTCCAGAGCCAGCTCTCTGGTTTGCCTGGGTTCATTTTAAGGTCTATTTACTGCCTGTAAGATTCCTGTTGCCCTTCAGGCTTTCTTCTCTCCACCTCCATGTCTCTCTTCGTCACTTAAACGACAAGGTTTGCTTCCTAAATCCCCATCAACCTGTCAATGGATCCCCAAGGGATTATTACTCAAAAAACAAAAGGAGTAACCATGGCAACCTGACATGCAGTATTTGGTTTGCAACATAAACCTGACCTCCCCAGTGGCTCTGCCCATGGCTTGGCTCAGCCACCTGAGACTCCACACACAATGTCAGTGTCAGCACTGGTTGAGGCCAGCCCTGTGCGTCTGCTGATCACCATACTTCAGCTAGGAGCTGTCATGGGCTTTTTCTCCTGCATGAAGGGAGGTTGAAGGGACTCACTGACTTTCTGTTTCTGGCCAGTAGCTTATCCACCTTCCCCAGCCTGGCCTTAGTCCTTGTGGCATTGCTCTGCTGTCTCATGGGCACACAGGAACCCACTTCTTGTCATGTGCCTGGCTTTGGCCTGGCAGGGTGGGCAGGGAAGGCTTGTCCCTAGGTCCTCTTCTACCTGCCAAGACCCAACAGAGGGGAAAGTGATAATACCTGGGGACACCTCAGATCTATAGTGCTCACCATTGCCAAGCCAGGCTAGAGCTGTGGTGGAAGGAGCACTGCTGGAGCAATGCCAGCAGTCACAGGCAGGACCTAGTCCCGTGCAGTGCCATCACCTCTATCTGCACTGCCTGTCCAGAGGGGTTTTTACTGCTGGAGAAGACAGAAAGGCTCTTCAGAGCATGAATTGCCCCCCCCAGGGGCAGACGTCTGGCAGGTCCCACCTCTCCCCATGGCTCTGATGGCAGTCCTGGCCAGACAGACCTCCCTCTGTCCCCAGGTACGACCCGCGCTTCAACACGTGGCTGCACCTGGCCAGCATGCAGCACAGGAGGTCACACTTCAGCCTGAGCGCCTGCCACGGGCTCCTCTACGCTGTGGGAGGGCGCAACGCCGAGGGCCCTTTGGCATCTGTGGAGTGCTACGTCCCCACCACCAACAGCTGGCAGAGCAAGGCGGGCCTGGAGACACCCCGCTGCTGCCACGCCACCACCGTCA